GGTAGCTTACACCCCCTATCAAGAAACAGAACATTGCCAGCACTGTGAAGTCCTCCTTGTGCTCCCTTCTAGACACATACATATCCCTCCCATGTGTTGGTTGTTTTAAAGTCATTAGTGTCATGAATAAGAGCTAAGACTTGACAGTCTTAGGGCCACTTGCTGTCTTTTTTACTAACTATGTGATCTTGGGTAACTTAGCCCGTGAATTTCATCTGTGAAATGCAAAACAGTTCTTACTTCATGGTTTTATGATATATTATGCATACTAGCTACTACTGTAAAACAGTGCATGGAAAATGGGTATGTTGTAGGCGCTCAAAGTTAGTTGATGTTGATATGAGTCCTCAGAGGAAGAAACGACAGGGAGGTTTTTTTATGGGGGAGATGCACTCAGAAATTGACTACAGAGAAGGGTAGAGCTTAGACCAGTAGGGAGAAGGGGAAAAACATTCCTGTGAGAGAGGAGCTTGAGCTGAGGTCTTTGGAGAGACATTTTTGCTACATATTTGGAATGCATTCATGAGAGCAGCTTGTCTGCAGTGATGCAGGGCATACATATAGAGCACTTGTGGAAGTAAGTTTGGAGAGCTTGGCAGGTCTCAGAAGTTGATCAGGGAGGGCACTGAGTGCCAGGCTAAGATACTTGGACTTCTCCCCTTTGCACTGTGGAGACATTGAAGACTTCTGAACATGTGTGTGTTGTGGGGCAGATAGTATATTCAGTATTTTAGGATATTACTCTAGCTGCATGTGCAGAAACATTGATGATGGAAGTGGGAAAAACTAGAGACAGAACTATGATCACACCAGGTGCATGGTGTACCTGAAATCCCAGCTGCTCGGGAAGCTGAGGCGGCAGGCTCACTTGAGCCCAGGAGTTCTGTGCTGTAGTGGGCTCTGCTGATCAGGTGTCCACACCAAGTGCAGCATCAATATGGTAATCTCCTGGGAGCAGAGGACCATCAAGCTGCTAAGGAAAGGTGAACCAACCCAAGTCGGAAATGGAACAGGTAGTGGGAAACTGTTAGAGGGAGGGAGGGCAGTACCACTCCTCATCAACAAGGGTACTTGCATAAGGAACATTTGTATACCTAACCCTGAATTGTAATTCACATCTTTAAAATAAAAAATTAAGGCCAGGTGCAGTGGTTCAGCCTGTAATCTCAGCACTTTGGGAGGCCGAGGTGAGAGGATTGCCGCAGTCCGGGGATTCGAGACCAGCCTGGGCAACTTGGTGAGCTCTCGTCGCTACAATAAATCACGAAAACTAGCCAGGCATGATGGTAGCATGTGTTTGTAGTTCCAGCTACTTGGAAGACTGAGGCAGAAGGATCACCTAAGCCCAGCAGGTCGAGACTACGGTGGCTGTGAGTATGCCACTGCACTTCAGCCTGGGCAACAAGAGTGAGACTCCAGATAGACTAGATTAGATAGATAGATATATAGATAGATAGATAGATAGATAGATAGATAGATAGATAGATAGATAGATAGAGATAGAGAGATAGATAAAAGAAAGAAAGAAGAAATGGAACAGACCAGAACTCCTGTGCTGAGTAATAGTGAGATTGCACCTGTGAATAGCCACTGCATTCCAGCTTGGGCAACATAGCAAAACCCTGTCTCTCAAAAAATAAACTAAGATGATTGTGAGATGAGAAAATAGATGAGTTTGGGATTAAATCAAATCTCGAGGACTAGTAGTTTCTCTTTATTTCCTAAATAACAGGTACTTTTTAAAAAGATGTTTTTGCATATATAATTGTGTTCAATCCCCACAACAGCTCTGAAAGTAGATATTGTTACTCTGACTGAAGAAACTGAGACCTTAGGAGTATGTAACTTGTTCAGGGTGGCACAGTGAATAAACAGTAGAGCCTATTTCCCTACCCAGGTCTGTACCACTGTAAAGCCAGTCTCTCATGACTCCCCCAGATCCTCACAAACTGTGTCTGTCAGAATCCCAAGATGCTACCTGAGAACCACTCAGTCATAAACATTAAGGGTGGGCCTAGCAAGTGCCCCAGATGACTATGAGAACCACTAAACCTACCATGCTGCCTCTCTAGTGGTCTTAGCCATTCCTATCCAAAAGTTCTCCGCCACACCCCCTCACTCCCCCACAGAATTCTCATAGAGGTGAGGAGCCTGTTTCCTGGACTCAGCAACAGAGTGTGACTAAGTATGGACTCTAGACTCTTCAAAGTGTGGCTCAGGGTCCAGTCACCCATCCAAGTCTGGAAGACTGCTTAAAAAGCTCATCATATGGAATCAGAGTCTGCATCTTATTTATTTGTTTGTTTTTTTATTGAGTCAGAATCTCACTCCATCACCCAGACTGTAGTGCAGTGGCACACTCTTGCGGCCATCACAAGCCTCAACCTGCTGGGCTCGGTGATCCTTCCGCCTCAGCCTTCCAAGTAGCTGGAACTACAGGCATGCACCACCATGCTGAGCTAATTATTTTATTTATTTGTTTGTTTGTTTGTTTATTCAAGAAAGCAGGATTTATTGAGAGGATAGAAAAGCTCCCACAGTGGGAGGGGACCTGAGGAAATTGTCCTATTTTTTTATTTATTGTAGAGTCAAGGTCTCACCACGTTGCCCGGTCTGGTCTTGAACCCCTGGACTCAGGCAATCCTCTTGCCTCGGCCTCCCAAAGTTCTAGGATTACAGATGTGAGCCACTGTACCTGACCAGAACCTGCATTTTAGCAGCGTTTCCCCCAAGTGATTTAGAGTCTGAGAAGCGCCATTCTAAAGCATAAGTTTGAAGTATGAAGAATCTAATGAAGTTATTTTATTAGGCTTTACAGTTTACAAGTAAAGAGTAGTGCAAAGACCATGGAAGGAGGCCTTTTATTTATTGTATGCCTACTGCATGTCTGATGTTTTGGGTACTTTATTTTATTTATCCTCATAAGAGCCTTATAAAATAGTCATTATTATCCCCATTCGAGTGGTGAGGAAACTAACGCTGATAAGTTCTTAGCCCAAGATCACAGAGCTACTTAGTGCCTTAGCCAGGAATCAAGTGTAAATCAGATCTGACTCCAAAACCTATGTGTGCTCTTTGCAGCCTACCACATTGACTCCCAACAGGAAATGAAGGAATTCGTTTTCTTCCCTGTTGGTGTGTGTTCTTCCATACAGCTGTACAATCCAATCACCTGGAACAGTACATAAGAGTCCTATAGTTTGGAAGTGATAAAAATAGAACAGGTTCTGTGTTAACAGCTCTTCTCTGTGGTGTTTTGGTTAGTCTTTCCACTTGAGCAAGCCTGACCTCCAAATTGTTCACCCAGGTTGATTTCAAAGCCAAGGAGAAAGACTGGCAGAAAGCACTGTCTCTTGAGTGTGTGGCCACAGTGCCAGCCTGGTTTTCCATTGCCAGGGGTCCTGACTTTCACAGACTTTTCAAAGTGCAGTTTTTAATGCTTTCTCCTCCAGATTCCATTTTGCCGTGAAGTCATTTCTTTGCTTAAGCTGAATCAGTCTGAATCACAAACTAGAATTTCCTGTATTGAACCCCATCAATGTACCTTTTATTGTGTGCACCTAAGAAAACTCCCAGTGAACTGGTTTGAATGGGGATCTAAACCTACTTATTTTATAAAACAATCGAACCAGAAAGCTAAAATTGAGCTCCTTGAACTACTTATATTCCCTGTAAATTCTGCCACTGCAAAACCAATGTTGACCTGTCCAGGATCTCTCCCTATTCTAATTCTGTATTCTGCTGGATAATTAACCAAACTATGAGCTGTTTGAGGACAGAGTGTGTGCCTCCTGTTCATCTATTTCCCTGGCTCCCAACAGGGTTCTTGAGAGAGGCACCAGTAAATGCCTATTTTCTGTATGAATGAATATAGAACTACAGCAGTGGTTATGGTAGCAGCCAATGCTCACTGAGCACTTACTACATGCCAGGGCCTGTATATGCCAAATTCTATATAATCTTCTCATCAACCCAGTGTTATTAGCATCTCCATTTTACTTAGAAGAAATTTGAAACTTAGAAAGGTAAAGTGACTTCTCAAGTCACATATCTAGTGATTGGTGAACCTGGAGATTGAAACCCAGGCAGTTTGACTCTCAAGTTCATACTCCTGCCCAAAAGGCTATAACACCTCCTACAACTAATATGTAAAGTGCTTATTATTTGCCAAATGTTCTTTATACTTATCTCTCATCTAATCCTCATAGCTGCCTTCTGAGGTGGAGCCTTTTTTGTCTTCTTTTTAAACAGATGAGAAAACAGCCAAGATAATGCAGCTAGATAGCTACAGGAAAGGCGGGGGGATCCTAGTTCTGCCTGGGGCAAACCTATGTTCTTCACCCTGCTCCCAGCTGCCTCCCAGGCTCAGTGGCCACAGTACATGACAATCACACATTCATTCTTTTGGCAAATATTTATATAGCACATTGTACCAGGCATTGTACTGAGTACTTTAGATACATGATCTCTTTTTTTTTTTTAATTGTAGAGATGAAGTCTTGCCATGCTGCCCAGGCTGGTCTCAAACTCACAGGCTCAGGCAATTCTCTCACCACTGCCTCCCAAAGTGCTGAGATTACAGGCTTGAGCCACCACGTCCGGTCTACATGATCTCATTTAAACTTCACAACAACCTGGTGAAGTGTTGATACTGCTATTTTTATTCTTCCCATTTATAATGGGGAAACTGAAACTTATGTATCATTAGTGTGTCAAGTGGAAGTAGTAATAATAGCTAATATTTATGATGGCTTCCTATGTGCTAGGTATACTGTTTTAAGTGCTTTATGTGTACTATCTCATGTAGTTGTTACCATGAGCCTATAATCATTACATTAGAATATAATATAAGGTACTTTTATCCTGTTACAGGTAAGGAAGTAGATATTTGCCTAAGTTTACACAGCCGATAAGTGGCAGGACCAAGCTCATACCCAAGCAATGTGACTCCAGGGTCTACCATGTTAACTGTATCTTGGTTTTTGTCTTCCCCTCCACAGGCACCAAGGCTGGCTGAAAACTTCTGTGCTTGCCATTTGGCCACTGGGGACATGCTGAGGGCCATGGTGGCTTCTGGCTCAGAGCTGGGCAAAAAGCTGAAGGCAACTATGGATGCTGGGAAACTGGTAGGTTTGGTGGTACCAGTGAGTTTTGCTATTCCTTAGAATCTAGATTGTACTGTTCAATATAGTAGTCACCAACCACAGGTGGCTATTTAGATTAATGTAAACTTAATTTAATTTAAAAATCAGTTCCTCAGTTACACTGGCTACATTTCGAGTATTCTCCAGCCAACACTGATACAGAATATATGTTCATCATCAAGAAAGTTCTATTGGACAGCCCTGTGCTAGAGGGTGTTTTAATAAACTGGTAGATTATATAAAGTTATTTTTTGTTTTGTTTTGTTTTGTTTTTTTAAGTAGAAGTCCCACTCTGTTGCCCAGGCTAGAGTGCAGTAGTATGCTCACAGCCACTGCGTGCTACCTGCTCTACCTGCTTGGCTTGGGCGATCCTTCCACCTCAACCTTCCAAGTAGCTGGAACCACAGGCGTGTGCCACCACGCCCAGCTAAGTTTTTGATTTATTGTAGAGACAAAGTCTCTCCAAGTTGCCAGGGCTGGTCTTGAACCCCTGGATTCAGGCAATTCTCTCACTTCCAGGCATGAGCCGCCGCTCCCAGTTTATATAGAGTTCTCAGAGTTGCGAGTTATTTGGTTTGTTCTGAATTTATTCACAGTATTCTTGGGAGTTGTTTTGTTTGTTTTGTTTTGAGTTGGAGTCTCTGTTGCTCAGGCCAACAAGTAGCTGGAACCACAGGCACGCACCACCATGGTTGGCTAATTTTTTTTATTATTTTTTATCGTAGAGATGAGATTTTGCCAAGTTACCCAAGCTGGTCTCGAGCCCATGTGTACTCAGGCAATCCTCTCACCCTGGCCTCCCAGAGTGCTGGCATTATAGACATGAGCCACCATGCCCAGCCTATTCTTGAGGTTTTTTTGTACTAATCCTTTTTGTAATATACCCAAACTTTAGACCCAAAATGAAACTGCCATCCCTAGGTCAAAACTCAGGGTTGTATTCAGAGAGGACTAAGGAAATCACAGAAGTGTTTTTAAGCCTACTTTTGTGGTTCTGTGTTCTAGGTCTCAAACAAGAGAGTTACTTGATAATTGTGAGAAAGGTAATCCTTTCTATTTGGGAAGAATATAGTATTTTCTCTTGGTTTTAGGCCAGTTGATCTGATTGAACAAATGTAATCTATTGTCTACAAGATCTTTGATAGTGTCAGAGCTTAGTTATAAGTGAGTTATTCCAGCCGGCTCAGTGGCTCAGCCTGTAATCCCAGCGCTTTGGGAGGCTGAGGTGAGTGGATTGCCTGAGCCCGTGGGTTCAAGACTCGCCTGGGCAACTTGGTGAGACCTCATCTCTACAATAAATCAAAAAATTAGCCGGATGTGGTAGCGCGCGTCTGTAGTTCCAGCTACTTGGAAGGCTGAGGCGGAAGGATCGCTGGAGCCCAGCAGGTCAAGGCTGCGGTGGCCGGGAGCGGCCACTGCACTCCAGTCTGGGCAACAGAGTGAGACTCCAACTCAAAAAAAAAAAATAAGTGAGTTATTCTGGAACTTGACCTCTGGAAATCACCTTCAGAAGTTATTTAGTGCTTGATCTTTTTTTTGTCTTAAAATGTTAGTTGGGGAGGGAGCTGAGCTTTTCTTTTCTCCCCAAGTTACCTTTTGTTAGGCTTTGAGATTCTATAGTGATATTGAATGGTACCTCTGCCTGCCCATTTCTTTCTAGCTTTCCCTTCATGTTATTGAGGCCTTGAGTCAAGCCATAAGCTAGATATTTTGGACTTTGGTTCTTGGCAGAAGACTGTACTAAGAAAAAACTGGGATGTGGCAATGAAATTGCTTATCTCCAGCCTTCACTTAGTTGCAGAGCTTATACTTTGACCCTAAGTTCACAGCTGGTGCCGAGAAATAAGAGCATTAGTTGCCAAGATGGGCAGACATCACTGTAATACAGGCTGCGGACTTTTCTTTTAATAAAGGCTGGGAGTGGGAGGAACAGTTTTTGAAAACTGGGAGGGGTCCTTATTGGGATTTTAGAGAGACTCAGAAATGTGTTGGATTGGCTCTTCAGTTCCTCTGTTTTGACCCAGACTTGCCAATTCAGTGAACTTCTCTGTTGCCTCATGTCCAGGTTGGCCTAGATGTGTGACCAAGCACACGCTTCAGTCACATTACTGTTAGCTTAATCAAAATTGTGAAACAGGGAAAGCTAGTGCCTTTCTGTTTTCTCATCAACCTCCATTCTCTCCTGTAGCTCTCAGGTGATCTGTCAGCCATGTGACCTCATCTTTCTTGTGCCTGCGGACCACTAATTGCTAATACATTGTTATCTCTGACTCTGGTGGCAGCAGAGACCTAAGACATGGTGCTCTCCTGGTGACCTCATCTTTCTTGTGCCTGCGGACCACTAATTGCTAATACATTGTTATCTCTGACTCTGGTGGCAGCAGAGACCTAAGACATGGTGCTCTCCTGGTGGGATAACAAGCACTGGAATCCCTTTTCTCTCACTCAGATTTTTGGGATGCACAAGAATTTTAAGGGACAAGAACGTGGTATGTGGGAATCACAGCAATAATCATGAAATTGGATCCAGATGGAGCCACTTCACATTTGCTCTTATTTTTTGCTTCTTTGGGTCAAGAAGACCTGCTATTTAATAATAAGGTTAAATACACACAAACTTTTTACTCTGGCATTGGGCTAATACCTAGTTAACAGATTTAAACCCAAGACTCTTTTGTTCTTAACTTCCAGGTGAGTGATGAAATGGTAGTGGAGCTCATTGAGAAGAATTTGGAGACCCCCTCATGCAAAAATGGTTTTCTTCTAGATGGCTTCCCTCGGACTGTGAAGCAGGCAGAAATGGTGGGTAGCTTAGTTTTTGTCTCACCATTGCATGAAAGCAAACTCTGGCCCTTTATCTCTTAATTCCTTTGAAGGAGATGGGCCTAATTAAGCTCTGGTAACTTATATGGGCCACACACTCTTTTTACAGCTTGACGACCTTATGGAGAAGAGGAAAGAGAAGCTTGATTCTGTGATTGAATTCAGCATTCCAGACTCTCTGCTGATACGGAGGATCACAGGAAGGTATTTGTCCCCTGAAGATCCCTTCTTTTCATGCTTTCTCAGAGCTTGATCAGACTATGAGAATAGATTTTACCTAATCCCAACTGTGAAGCTTAGTGCCATTTCAGCATGGATTGATCTTACTTGGTGACATCCACTGAAGTGGTTACATAGGATGGGACTATAGAAAGATGAACATGGAGCCAGATACAGTGGCTCACGCCTATAATTCCAGCACTTTGGGAGGTGGAGGTAAGAGGATTGCCTGAGCCCACGGGTCTGAGACCAGCCTGGGCAGCATGGCAAGACTTCGTCTCTACAGTAAATCAAAAAATTAATCAGGCATGGTGACACGCACCTGTAGTTCCCGCTACTTAGAAGGCTGAAGTGGAAGGATCACCTGAACCCAGCAGGTTGAGGCTGCGGTGACCGTGAGCATGCCTGGGCAACAGAGTGAGACTCTGACTTAAAAAAAAAAAGGAAAGATGAGCAAGAAATTTGAAGACAGCATCTCAGTCCTGTCACCTTTTAACTGTGACCCTAGGCATGTTTCTTAACCTCTCTCAGGCCGTTTCCTCATATGTGGACGGGGGCTTATAATACCTGCTTCAAGGAGCTATTGTGCATGTTAGGTAACATGTAGTGCATAGTTCAAAGCCTTGCTTATATTAGGTGCTTAAGAAATGTTAAAATCATGAACAGGGTGTGGTGGCTCAAACCTGTAATCCCAGCACTTTGGGAGGCAAAGGTGAGAGAATTGTCTGATCCCAGGGTTCAAGTCCAACCTGGGCAACTTGGTGAGACCTCGTCTCTACAATAAATCAAAAAATTAGCCAGATGTGGTGGCGCATGCCTACAGTTCCAGCTACTTGGAAGGCTGAGGCAGAAGGGCGACAGACTCTGACTAAAAAAAAAAGAAAGAAATGTTAAAATCCTTACATGTGTATCTCCATTTTAGTACTTCTTGTATCTGGTTTCATTTGGAGTCTCCATGCTCTGCTATAGGATTTTTATTAATTATAAAAATGCTGTGACCATCTATACAAAATTTAGGAAATTGAGGAAAAGTTTGCTTGTTATACAGCCACTTTATTATTTTTGTATGCACTTTGTTTTAACATGTTTGTTTCTCTATAATAGTCAAAATTGAACACAGAAATACTTGTGCTTCTGCACACATTTGCTCTGAAAGACCAACACTGCTTTAGGCTACAGTTTTCTCTACCCTATTTCACTAATCACTCTGCCATCTGCTTTGTGCCTTCCAGAAATATGTTGAAAGCTCTCAACCACTAATGGATCCTCCATTCTCTTCTTTATTGTGGGCTATTGCTTTTTTTTGTCTTTGTCATTTTGATGGAGTCTCAGGAAGGTGGTCAGCCCACCATCTTGAACCAGATATCCATTACCATTATTTTTAGTTGCTGCATGACATTTCACAGTAGGTAAACCATCGTTTACTTAACTATTCCCTTATTGTTGTACATTTGTGTTTCTTCCAATTAGCAACTGTTAAATTGATACTATGACATGTAAAGTTTTGGATTTAATTAAGAAAAAAATGTTTTCTTGTTTTAGACTTTGCTACTTTTATTTTCTAATGAGGTTGGACATCTTTTCCTTGTTTCTGTAGTCTATACCTTCAAGGAGAGAGGCAGATATGCGAATAGATAGCAGAATAAATATTAGTGGTATTGTCCTAGAAAAAGCTATGTGAAATACAGTGGGATCTATCTTATATTAATTTTCTTTTCAAATGTGCAGATTTTATGTTTCTAACAGGTTTTATGTTTCATAGGCTCCTTCAGTGCAAGGACATTTGTTTCCTTGCATCCCCATTGGGCACAGAGTAAACAAAGTTGATGTAGGCCAAGAAGGGTAGGGCTGACAATAAGGAAATCACGAGTTCTGGGATCCCTGAGGCACAAAGCAAATATTAGCAGAATCAGGTGACACTTGGGACTCTTAATTCGATGAACCCAGTTTCCTGAGTAGTTGTCTCCTGCATAGCACAGTACTAGATCCTGTGGGCAAAACTAGATCCTGTGGGCAAAATAGCAGGAGAGGCTCTAAAGAATGATATAGTGGTGCCCATCTCTGACCTCAGAAAGTCATATATGAAACTTAGGCTATTCAATGTAGTAGCAAGTCTAAGAAGAGAGCCTGGGGACAGGGAAGGAAGGCTGCCTAGAACAGGCATAACATCAAACTCAGTCTTCTGGATGAAGAGTATTTTGGTGAGACTTTCCCAGAAGGGAGAAGCAGGAGGGAGTATGGTCTGGGGGGACGGACTCTAGCTGGGGCTAGTAGCGGACTGTCTGCCCACTAGTATGGGAACTGGGTGGTAGAATGAGTGCTGGAGGGAAAATAGAATGTGAGTTTGACTGGGAGATTTGCCAGACAGAAGAAGGTAGTCTTGACAGAGATTGGGGGTTATGGCAGAAAGCATTCTAAGAACATTGGCTTAGCCGGGCTCAGTGGCTCAGCCTGTAATCCCGCGCTTTGGGAGGCTGAGGTGAGTGGATGGCCTGAGCCCGCGGGTTTGAGACCCGCCTGAGCAACTTGGCAAGACCTCATCTCTACAATAAATCAAAAAATCAGCCGGGCGTGGTAGTGTGTGCCTGTAGTTCCAGCTACTTGGAAGGCTGAGGTGGAAGGATCACCAGAGCCCAGCAGGTCGAGGCTGCGGTGGCCGGGAGCGGTCCAGTCTGGGTGACAGAGTGAGACTCCAACTCAAAAAAAAAAAAAAAAAAAAGAACATTGGCTTGGTCGTGGCATACAATCTAAATTGGCAGAATCGGGTGACACCAGGGATCTTTGATTCAATGAGCCCAGCTTCCTGGGAGAAACAGATAAGAACCCTATCTAGGATCCTAATTGTGATCCACATGAAGTGATGGAGCTCTCTAACTGGGATTGGATAATATAGAAAAAGAGAGAATAAACAGGGTTGTTATAGAGGGTAAAAGAGAGAAGACTCAGCCCTTCAGTTTAGAAGTGAGTGGTTTGCCAAGCAGAGGTGAGAAGATTGCCTGAATCCAGGAGTTCAAGACCAGCCTGGGCAACTTGGCAAGACCTCGTCTCTACAATAAATTTAAATTAGCTGGGTGTGGGTGCATGCCTATAGTTCCAACTACTTGGAAGGGTGAGGTGGAAGGATTGCCTGAGCCCAGCAGGTCAAGGCTGCGGTGACCCTGAGCATGCTACTGAGACTCCAACTAAAAAAAAAAAAAAAAAAAAGTGAGTGGTTTATTGTGACTCCTTCCCTGATGACTGGAAGAAAATCAGCAGTAGCTAGTTAGTTTAATATTGATCTTGTTCAAGTCTGAGATAAGGGCCCCACTGTAGCTATCTGCTGGGTTAACTCTAACCTCACTTCTGATAATTTTGAGTCATTGTTTTGTTTCTTGACTATGGATGGTTGGTGGTATTTACTCTCTGATATCCTAATTATTCTACCAGTTGACTCTCTGGAATTATCTTAATGTCTTGTACCATCCGCATGTTGAGAAAACAGGTGTCTCAAGTGTCAGTCATACTCAAGGTAGTAGTGACTAGAATCTCAGCCTTGATGGCACCTCCAAGCCAGCCTTAGTGACTTTTGAAGCTGTTTTGGTTGGTATTTGAGACCAGTCCCATTTTGAGGACTTGGAGACTGAGCTTTCCTTCTTTCATTTACCTTCTAGGGAATGAGCTTTGCATCCTCTTAAAAATTATGTTTGTGAATGGGGAAAGAACATTGTGTTATATGTAATTGGGAAGCTGAGGGAATCTGGGATTTGGGGAGTAGTATAGAGACATGGAGAGCAAAGAATCATATTTGTTGCAGCCTGGCTGTTATGTGCCCTGTGCCCTCTAGAAAGTGAAAAAATACCCGGGTCCACATCTCATGCCCCAACCCTTCCCAAAGTCACTGCAGCTGAGTCCAGCAGCCTGTGCTCTCCTTCTCCCTTGGTCTCCCAATGGATGCCATTTCTGAATGGATGCATTAGAGAATTCAAATAATGGAGATTCTAGGCTTTTGCAGTCACAGGCCCCCTCACTCCTTATCACAGTCAGCCCTCCATATCTGTGGGTTCCCCGTCCATGGATTCAACCAGCCATGGGTCGAAAATATTTAAAACAACAACAGCCAGGCACGATGGCTCAAACCTGTAATCCCAGCACTTTGGGAGGCCAAGGAGAGAGAATTGCCGGAGCTCGGGGATTCGAGACCAGCCTGGGCAACTTGGCGAGACCTCGTCTCTACAATAAATCAAAAAATCAGCCAAGCATGGTGGCACATGCCTGTGATTCCAGCTACTTGGAAGACTGAGGCAGAAAGATCACCTGAGCCCAGCAAGTCAAGGCTGCAGTGACGGCACTCCAGCCTGGGCAACAGAGTGAGACTCCAACTCAAAAATAAATAAATAAATACAACAATACAACATTTAAAGTGTAGTATAGCAACTATTTGCATAACATATTTATATTAGGTATTATACGTAATCTAGAGATGATATATATAGGAGGATGTGCATAGATTATTTGCAAATACCACATTTTATATCAGGGAATTGAGCATCTGTGGATGTTGGTATCAACAGAGATGAGGAGTGGCTTCTGGAACCAATCCCCATCACCCAAAGGACCACTGTATGGCTTATTTTCTCTGCTTCCCTCACCCCTATAGCCACTGCCACCATTTGCCATAAATGGACCATCTTAACCCCCTAGAATATGCTGTGATTAAAACACAGTATCACATCTTATAGTGGTGTGACTTCGATAGTCTAAATAGAATTTCCCAGCTGATATGCTGAGATATTGATCTCCTCGGCTATGAGAATAACTAGACAGGCCTTGGGTAGCCACAGCTCCCCCAGGAGGAGCAAGCCACCCAAGTACTGTACAAATATTATTTATGTGCATGCCAAAAGGTAAAAAAAAAATCAGGAAGCTCTGGTCAAATAGACCTTCATGAGGAGAGCAACCATCAGTCAAATAAGCAAACAAACACTTGGTTGGCAGAGAATTGGAAAACTCCACCACTCAAGCAAGCCCTGGCTGTTGAGCAGAGCTTGACCGGCTTTCTTCCCTTCTTAGATTTCTAGGCTCCTTGGTGTGGCCATTTTCAGTCAGGAACATGAACTTGTTGCTTATGGGGTCTCAGTACATATGACTACTAGTTAAATATTCAGTGCCAAATAAATTCCTGTTTGGAGGCTCTCTTATTCCATGACTTATTTAATAATTCATTTTTCCTGATGACTTGAATATTGCCCTATAATTTACTGCTGTCCTTTATCTATGTGATTGGAAAGGTGTGCTGCATTGTCTGGTAGTGTTTGCATCCATGGGGCATATTTTTCCTATTAGCACCTTTCTGGCTTTGGAACAAAACTAGATTAGAAAATAGGGTTTCTTTCTCTGTCTTCTGTCACCTGTAGCACTTTGTACAAATGTCTGTTAAAGGATTATCACATTTGTTGTAGTTAGTTATTTCCATATATCTCCCCTACTAAGCACTACTTATGATCAGAAATCTCAACTTGTTGCTTTGTAGTGTCTGATTCAGCTTAATCAGATGAAGCACTTATTAATGTTTGTTGAATGAATGGATGAGTAGAATGGATGACTGTGTGAAACTAGCACCAGAGTTTCTTCTCTCAAGTCCTGAATTAGGTAGTTATGCCAACAATTTGCCTCTTCAGCCAGATGCTCATTAAAATGTTTGGTCAAAGCCGGGCTCAGTGGCTCAGCCTGTAATCCCACGCTTTGGGAGGCCAAGGTGAGTGAATTGCCTGAGCCCGTGGGTTCGAGACCCGCCCGGGCAACTTGGTGAGACCTCATCTCTACAATAAATCAAAAAAATTAGCTGGGCGTGGTAGCGCACGCCTGTAGTTCCAGCTACTTGGAAGGCTGAGGTGGAAGGATTGCCGGAGCCCAGCAGGTCGAGGCTACAGTGGCCGGGAGCGACCACTGCACTCCAGTCTGGGTGACTGAGTGAGACTCCAACTCAAAAAAAAAAACGTTTGGTCAGAATAGAAAACATACTCTGCCACTGACAAAAGCACTCCTGGAACCCAGTTATTTTCCTAAGCAAGGGATGCTTGAAGCTGGATTCTCTGCTGAGTGGAGTCCTTACATCCAGCTTCTCTGTCTCTGTCATTCTGGAGGCCCCTGGAATGCAGGGGGGTACATTCAGTCAATGTGACTCATGTTCATTTGCTGTTTTTCAGGCTGATTCATCCCAAGAGTGGCCGTTCCTACCATGAGGAGTTCAACCCCCCAAAGGAGCCCATGAAAGATGACGTATGTAAACTCAGGACAAGAAATTTCCTTTTCTTTCCTTCTACTTTCTTTCTTTCTTTTTTTTTCCTTTGTTCTTTCCATCTTCCCTTTATTTCTACCAATGTTACTAGCTTAACTATGAAAAATGTCACTATTAAGTAAATCATATGGTCTGTGACAAAGCTACTGGTGTCTCCTCAGTTAGTTTATTGCTTAGCTTCAGAGTAGCTACCAGTGCCAGGTACTTCCCAGTGTCTATATTGTACCTGTCTCTGTCAAGAGCAGCCCTTTTCTGACATCATGGCCAAGTAGTCAGCTGACTAGCAGAAGTTTTCTTGAAAGCCAAGATTGGAGAGTAGGGGGAGTGTGGTACTAAAGAAAAGGTTGCTGACAAGTCCTCTGGAGAATATCTCCTGTCAATATAGTGACTGCTGTACTATCACCTGGGATCTCATACATGATAACTGTATCATTTGCCATAAGGCCTCCATATGGTCTGTTTTATAGCATGCAGGCAACAGTAAGAATGTCTTGAGTTTACCTTTGTCGTACAAGACAAGTTCATCTGGTAATCCAGGTTTCACAGCCATTGTGGCAACTTAACACCTTTTGCAAAGGCAACTGAGGTTACAATTGCTCACACAGCTCTGATTTTGATATATTCTTGTTTCAGGGGCTTCTGTCCTCCTTGCTTTTGACCCTAGAAATGTTCAACTTGGAAGCTGAACAGCCTGAGCACAAAGCTGCAAGAGAAAGGCCCATCTTCCTCTCACAAGCTCCTTTCCTCACTGTTGCTGTTTCTGACAGGCTCTCTGACTTCCCTGGACAGCTGGTCTACTCCTGGGAATAGCAGAATTCTTTACTGGAGAGGGTCTGAACTGCCTGTCTTTGCCTCTGATAGGATTTGGGATCAGACAGCATCCTGGGCAGAATGGTTCCATCTCAGATCTACATCTGGCATGGATTAAGGAAACTTTGCTTGGAGTCCTGGCCTTTTATTGTCTTCTTTCTGTTTCAGATCACTGGGGAACCCTTGGTTCGTCGATCAGATGATAATGAGAAGGCTTTGAAAATCCGCCTGGAGGCCTACCATACTCAGACCACTCCCCTCGTGGAATACTACAGGAAACGGGGGATCCACTCTGCCATCGATGCATCCCAGACCCCTGATATTGTGTTTGCGTGCATCCTAGCAGCATTCTCCAAAGCCACATGTAAAGACTTGGTTATGTTTATCTAATGTTAAGTCTACTAAGGAATTTTTTTTTTCTTCCTATCCCTGTTGAGGGAGCAGATGAGAATAGCAGGGCAAGCAGAGGGAAGCTTCCCCAGGCCAGCCAGATTATAATTTGGTGTATTGATTAAAAAAGCACTTGCTTAGTGTATCTTTGGCATGTATGCAACTCTCATCTCATCTGTGTATGTATGTGTGTCTCAGTAAAATATGTTCACTCTCCTAAGTTTTAGGCTAGATTGCTTTACCAACTGTTTACTTATTTAGCCATATTTTTGAGTTTATTTTTTAACCAAAATAAACTCAGGTATCTGCCAGGCATCCCAATCCCAAAACCTCATAATATTCTTCCATTTCCAGCATCTGATTAGGAGAATTCTAGGATCACGTGAAGTCGGGCAGGGTCACAGTTCTTGATGGCACATTATTGGCAGAAATTCCACTTGTTTTCTAACCCACATGAGTTAGTGTGTGGACAGAGATCATTACTTTTCTTCCCCTAAATAAAAGGGAAAAGACACTTCACATTATACATTCTAGTAGTTACTGGGAAAGGGTATCACCATAGAAAGAGATAGGCAAAGTCAGAATATTTTTGTGATCTGCATCATGGTGCTGTAAAGTAGGGATCATTTGGGACCTGGGTTTGAAAACTAAATCATTGCCTAAGGATTAAACCAGGTAAAAGGTCCTTTTGAATTCAGATTGTATTCTGAACATCCAGGCTAAGCATCTGAAAGCAGCCAAGTCCACTTCCCCAGAGACCAGGGTAGGTTTGTTTGCTTTTATTTTTAACGTTTGCTGCTGTTTCCATGTGTGAGCAAAACAATGTTTTGGGGGTGATCTATTCTTGGATTCATTTTGATAAAATTTATTCAAACCTAGTCTCTCTCCAGAATGTGAAACTCAAATCAGATGTTTCCCTTTTAAACCCAAACCCTCTCCCTCCCAGATCCATTCTTTCACCCCTTCTTTCATGATGGCAGTAGCCACAGACTCCCCAGGAAAAGATCACCCAAAAATAAGACCACTTATGACAATAACCAGCTTTTATTTGTAACCTTAGCTCCCCAACTGTTAAGCATTTCCTAGGATCCCTGCTACTCTGGTTTAATTTGTGGCAAACAGATGAAGTAACGGACTGCTGTGAAGGACCACAAAAATAGCGGCCTCTGGAAAAACCATTAGAAAGTCAGTGGCAGATCCAGTAAATAATGCCGCCTACCTCAGCATAATCTGCTGCTGACTCGGTGCAATGGCCTCTAAACTGTGCAGTCCCCACCTGACCTGAGCTCTCCTGCTGTCTGTGGAACTACCAGAGGGCTTATCTTCTGTCCACATGGCAACTGGCATGGGTATGTGGCCCTTGCTTTCCCCTTTGCCTGGTCCAAGTGAGTGTCTGCTGCCTCTGTCCTGCCTTTTTTCCTGGCTCTAAACTAACCCCACCCACTCTTAACAGAAACAGTCTGGCTTTGTGTGTTTCTGGGAAGCACATGACTTCTGGGAATGGGTAAAAAAGAGGAGTGAAACCAAAACTGTTAGCTATGCCTGGAGGCATCTGGGATCCTTCTCTGAGTGAAGGTGGCATCACAAATCTTGGAATCAATTCCCCATTGACTAGGGACAGTTACAGGCGTTGGCCTCAATGTTGAGGTTCCTGGATGTTTGCTAATTGAATGTGCATGATCCTTGCCCAAATATTTGTCATCCATCCACATACATTCATGTGTACACATGTGCACACAAATGTGCATGTGATATTTGGGCTGCCCAAAAGAACTAAAAGATCACAGGGAATGCATATGCCTTTCTCAATGGTTGGTATTCTATTTTTGCTTCATTTAATTCCAAAATCTTAACCTCAGCAGGCATGAGAGCATTTACCTGACAGAGAAATGTCCAGTGTTTAATTCGTTTAGTTGCTGGGGCGTGCATGCCAGCCTCCTCTGATATGTACTTGGTTTTTAAAAACCCATTTTGTTCTCTCTTTCCTCTCTATTTCAGCCTAGTAACAGAAGGCCAGGCGAGACTGCACCACTGCTCATCACCCTGCGGCGTGATCCCTGCTCTTAGGTGCTGGGCAGAGGGGAAGGGTGATCAGGGTGACGGTGGAGAGGGAGGGCTGGTGAGGGGCTCAAGAGGAGCATTTGAAAGAGCACCAGTGTTATTGTGAGGTGATTTCTTTTACATATAGGTGGGAGTTTTTAAAGTGTAAGTAAAGGGGGAAATTAATTTTTAAAAAACATTGTGCTTAGAGGGTATGGATAGAAATAGTGAGAAACAGTATTATTTCCGAGGAATTGGGTTTTCATTTACTTTGAGCTAGTGACAATGTTTTTTTAAAGCCAATACCCTAAAACCTCAGCTTTTATTTCACAACCCCATGTGTTGCCAGATCGAGAGAACAGGACATCAAACTGTCGTCCTGTTTGTCCTATAGCTCAGAAAAGGGAGGATTTGACTACTAACCCTGGTTCCCTGAACTGTACGATCAAAAAATCATCTCCGCATTTGAAAGACATATGAGGTATATTCATGGGGTGGTAGCTCAGTAAATCAAGTTAACTGGAGTCGGGCAGGATGAGGAGAGCAGGCTGGGTTGACTCCCTTCCCTGACTTACCGCTGGCTTACTAAGCCACCTGCTTTCATGGCTTGGCTCTCAGCAGCGAGCTAGAACATACCATATTCTGTGTTCTTGCCTTCTTTCATCTATGGTGTGTGAAAGGACCCTTTTAAATAAATGAGCAAGTGTCCTAAACTATATCATCCAAAGATTGTCCTTTCCATTCTCAAATCCTGTGACTGGGATCACTCAACAGCACTGTGATGTATTATTTTCAATGAGGTGCCTTTCTTAACTGACCAAATGCTGCCTTGTTTGGCCCCTAAATCAATAAAGATTGTTAAAAGTTTGTATCCCCTGTTGTGGCATTTTTTGAGGGAATCTAAACTAGAAAAATTACACTGAATTCTGGACCTGGTTTGGAAGCCCTTTCTTGTAGTCACTGGCAGCCTTGTGGTAGGAAGGTCCAAGTGTGTGCTCATAAGATGATCCTGCACCCTCTTGACCTTCAGCTCCTTAGGCTTCTTGAGCCCAAAGACAAGGCAGCTTGGTCTAGTGGAGACAGCACTATACTTGGAGTTCAGGGACCCTAGAACAAATCTCAGCCATTTAGTCGTTCATTCTGCTCCTGTTTCCTCATCTGAAAAAGGAAGCTAGGCGGGGCTTGGTGACTCAGCCTGTAATCCCAGCACTTTGGGAGGCCGAGGCGAGTGGATTGCCTAACCCCGCGGGTTCGAGTCCAGCCCAGGCAATTTGGCTAGACCTTGTCGCTACCGTAAGTAAAAAATTAACCAGGTGTGGTAGCATGTGCCTGTAGTTCAGCTGGTTGAGGCGGAAGGATCACTGGAGTACAGCAGGTCAACGCTGAGGTAGCCGTGAGTGTGCCTCTGCACTCCAACCTGGGCGACAGAGTGAGATTTCTTCTCAAAAAAAAAAGGAAGCTAGTAATGCCATCAGATTTAATAGCATTAAATGAAGTGTATAAGAAGAAGCTTTTTGCTCACTACCTGATACGCAGCAGATATTGGATAAATGTTTGTTGGATCCAAGCATACATAGAAAAATAGGTGCTTCATGCCAGGCCGGATAATTGCTGGACAGACAGTTGTCCACAGCCTAGAAAGCCAGTGATTCTAATCCCTAAGTCAGCTATTTAGCTACCTTTTCAGTTGCTTCTTTAACACTCTTAATTGCTTCTTTGTGTGTCCTAGTTTAAATCCATTTCCTCCCCAGCAAAAGTGAGTTTAAATCATTTGTCCGAACTGAAGCTCTTGTGCTTTTGGAAGGGCTGCCTTTACCAGTAAAGTTTCTGAGAAATGACTGGTGTTCCCAAAACAAGAGGGAACTGGGCCAGAAGCACCCCCATTCTTCAGGCATCTTGTTACCAAGAGAGGCAGAGTCTTCCCTGTATATAAAATACTGCTCTCCAAGCTATCCTCTCTTTCTTCTGCTTCACCACTTCCTCACCTCTACAGAGTCATTTTGAGGTGTGAACATGACTGATTTGCTCTGATCACTTTGCTCTCTGAGCTGTTTAAATGCCCCATGAAAATTTTTCTCTCCTTTGGTCATGATGTGTCTAGTTGGGAGGAAATGTTTGTCAAACCAGCCTGGGAAGCTGCATGATATAAAGAGAATAAACTGAGAGATGATTGGGTGAGCTATTATTTGTTTGCTTCTTTGGACCTTAGTTTCCTTATCCAATCTGCAAACCAAGAATTGCCACCACTTCTGGAGGACTGATGTCATGCCAGGTATTGTGCAAAGGCTTCACACCCATGACCTCACATAACCATCACAAAGAATCCTGTGCTGTCAGAACTGTCCTTCTGTTTTATAGGTGAGGAGACCAAGACTAAGAGGAAGTGACATTCCTGAAGTCACACATAAGAGGCAGAGTCACACAATCTCTGATACCTGTCTGTCCCCTTAACCTTGTTGCTGAAGTGCTTTAGTGACTTGTATAGCTCTGCAGGCAGGAAGAGCCCCTCAGAAAAAAGAGCACTTTTTCATGGACATTCAACACTGTCAGAACTGATTTTGAAGAAGACACATCCAGGGTATGTGTCTTAGGATCTCGTGTGTACACAAAGTGTCACTGACAGAGCAGGATGGTGGGCAACCTCCTTAGAAAGCTCACAAGTCTTGCCTCAGCTGAAGACAGCCCAATGAGTCAGAAGACAGATTTCAGCAGCCACTTCTCCACCATAAGACCTAGGGCAAGTTATCTCACCTCATCAGTAGAATGGGAATTATCCCTTGCCCTCAGGGATGCTGATGACACTGGTGACCAAGATACTAATGGGTTAGGATGCCCAGGACACAGCAGTTGCTCAGTAACTGCTGATGAAATTCACAGGGGAAATGTAGGCATTGGTGAAGGCTGTCGTCTCTGACCATCTGGAACCAGGCTAAGGATCCCCTAGAAATCATGGACCTCTGAAACTATATGCAGAATTATCTATGTATTTTCATAATTATTAATAGCTTAACAGGTATTGAATGCTTACTGTTTGGGAGGTTTTGCATATATTATCTCATTTATTCTTCTCAGTAACTTTGTGGAGGTAAGTGCTTTTATTCTCTCCATGTTATTTCTGTGGACTTTGAGGTTCATACATCTGGGAATGGCAGAACCAGAGTCACTGAGTCAATGGCTCCACACCCCAGCTTCTTACTACTGTGTCAATTGCTTTGACACTTTGCTAGAGAGAGGGGAAAGGTTCTCAAAGGCACTCGTGATATGGAAAAGGCTACAAGCTGTGGATCTAACTGAAAGGAGAAATTTGAGTAGCTTTGCTGTGTCACAGTGAAGGACCTGCCACAGGTAAGGCCTTTTTCTATTTTGTTACCCTCTGTTGTTTCCTTACTGTTGATGATGGAAGCTCCAGTGTGCTGGATTTGCAAACCTCTTGGGATCATGCTTACTCCAGAAAGGCCAGAGGGGCACGTTACTGTGGAAGAGAAAAGCAAGTCCCCGTCTCCTTCACTCCTTGCCTCTGGTTCTGGAAAGGGTGGCAACAGGAGAGTGTGTATGCTGGCTCGGCTTCACAGTCAACCCTCTCAGACTGCAGTTCTGTGTGGCTAATGGCTTTGCATTATTCATAACTCCAGAGGGAGCACAGTCCTGACATCTTGGGAATGTGGCAGCTCTGTGTTTAGAATCATCCAGGGCAATGTGATGATGAGCTGCTCTCACAGGGTGCCCTTTCCAGGTGTCCAGTCCATGTTGAGGTGATCCCAGCAGAGAGGAAGTAGGACTGGAAAGACAAAGTATCAGAGGACAAGACAAGATGGGCCTTGATCCTGTACAGTTAGCACTCAGGTCAGTAAGCCAAACATCACACTTTTTGGGATAAAGTTGGTATGGAGCAAATCATTTCATTGTGTGATATCCCTTAGATAAGGACTTTTAGGACAAATTCCTCTGAGCTTAGAGTTAGGAGATGGTTATGTTCCTGTTTAGCTGGTCTGCATTCTTCTGCTAAGTAAGAGATGTTTCATTTTCTACTGTTCCCACCCCCTCATGGCTGGAGGAAACTCAGAATTAATCCTTGTGTTCAATTGCTGTTCTTTCCTCAACCAGGGTTTCCTAATAAAATTCTTACTCAACCCCAGCCCAATCTCACTTGTTTTATGTTTAGCATTTTTGTGCTTGTGTGTGTGTTGTGAACAGCTTTAAGTCTATTGTGGAAGACAAGCAGAGTGTAAAGGAAGGGCTAATTATGCAATACAGGAGGTGAAACTGCAGGGAAGAGGGTAGCTTTGTGAAAGAGGTGAGAAGGTGAGATCCAGATAGCTCCATGCAGAGACTGGGGCATTCCAGCAGAGGGCACAGCCTGAGGGAAGTTGCAACAGCTACTCAGGACTGCACTAATCTAGAGAACCCCTACAGTTCTGGGAAATCTATATCTGGTTAGAAATAATGTTTTTCAAGTCAGGCATGGTAGCTCATGCCTGTAATCCCAGCGCTTTTGTTGGCCAAGGCGGGAAGATCACTTGAGGTCAGGAGTTCAAGACCAGACTGGTCAGCATAGCAAGACCTTGTCTCTACAAAAAAAAATTTTTAAAGTTAGCCAGGTGTGGTGACGTTCGCTTGTAGTCCTAGTTACTTAGGAGGCGAAGTCAGAGGATCACTTGAACCCAGGAATGTGAGGTTACAGTGAACTATGATTGCACCACTGCTCTCTGACCTGGGCAACAGAGCAAGAGCTTACCTCTAAAAAAAATTTTGTAAAGTTATTTAAAGGCCATTCGTGGTGGCTCATGCCTATAATCCCAGCACTTTGGGAGGCCAAGGTGAGAGGATTGCCTGAGCCCACGGATTCAAGACCAGCCTGGACAACTTGGCAAGACCTCATCTCTACAATAAATCAAAAAAATTTAACCTGGCATGGTGATGCATGCCTGGAGTTCCAGCTACTTGGAAGGCTGAAACAGAAGGATCGCCTGAACCCAGCAGGTTGAGGCTGTGGTGGCCATGAGCATGCCACTACACTCCAGCCTGGGTGACAGAATGAGACTCCAACTCAAAAAAAAAAGGTGGAAACCTCTTTAAAAAAATAATGTCAGGCCGGGCACAGTGGCTCACGCCTTTAATCCCAGCACTTTGGGAGACTGAAGCGAGAGGATTGACTGAGCCCAGGGGTTTGAGGCCAGCCTGGGCAACATGGTGAGAACTCGTCTATACACAAATCAAAAAATTAGGTGGGCATGGTGGCACACACCTGTAGTTCCATCTACTTGGAAGGCTGAATCAGAAGGATTGCCTGAACCCAGCAGGTCGAGGCTGCAGTGGCCATGAGCATGCCACTGCAGTCCAGCCTGGGCTATAGAGTGAGACTCCGACTCAAAAAAAAAAAAAAATTAGCCAGGCTTGGTGTGCCTATAGTTCCAGCTACTTGAAAGACTTGAGGCGGAAGGATCACCTAAGCCTAGCAGGTTGAGGCTGCGGTGGCCGTGAGCATGCCACTGCACTTCAGTCTGGGTGACAGAGTGAGACTCCACCTCAAAAAAATTTTTTTTCATTTAAAAAAATAATAATGTCCTTCAGCCAGGCTTGGTGGCTTACGCCTGTAATCCTAGCACTTTGGGAGGTGGAAGCGAGTAGATTACCTTAGCTCAGGGGTTCAAGACCAGCCCAAGCAACATGGCAAGACCTTGTCTCTACAATAAATCAAAAAATCATCTGGGTCTGGTGGCACATGCCTATGGTTCCAGCTACTTGGAGGGCTGAGGTAGAAGGATCGCCTGAGCCCAGCAGGTTGAGGCTGCAGTGGCCATGAGCGTACCACTACACTCCGCTTGGGTGACAGAATGAGATGCCTCTGACTCAAAAAAAAAAAAAACGTCT